CTCTGGGAAGCTGACATCAACATGTAATTAAATGTGCAAGAGATTTATTTGGTAAACTGCTCGTGAGAATAAATGGGGACAGAGTCAAGGGAAGTGATCAATGCAGGTGGAAGAGAGAGGGAAAAAAAGGAGGCTTGGGCAGAAGTACCTCCTTCTGCTATAGTTCTCAGACATTTCATCAAGGCTTTCACAGAGTCCTTCAGCCAAAGTCACCCTCCAGGAACAGGTCTGCTGTGCTCAGTCATTGCCTGTGTAGGAGAGGACATTTTTTTTCCTCTACCCTTCTAGGTTTTTTTTTTTTTTTTTTTGGCTGGTCTGTTAATTAAATTGACATAAGACAGATTAACAGGAGAAAAACAAATTTAATTACATACATATGGAAGCCCTGTAAGAAGATGAGACCCAAGGACAAGTCAGTCAGTTGAGGCTTATATGTCATCGTGAACCAAGGGATGGGACTGAGGCCTGGGGCTGCCAAGGGGAGGAGGGTAATTTATGGGAAAATAAGAAGACCAGATGTTTGGTAATTAGATATTTGCCCTGTCAGACAGATAGATCTTTCAGATAAAAATTTATCTCTGGTAATAACTCTTTTTCTGGACCAGGCTCCCAGTCTAAATTCTTTTAGTTAGGGGAAAGGCAGAAGTTTTTCTTGAGTCAGCTGGGTCTTGACTGCCTTTGATGAAGAATAGTTGGAAGAAAGGCAGGCAGGGACAAGGGAAACCACCCTTAAAAGGATTTTACATCACCCTGGAAGGAGCCCTCCACCCTTTTCCAGTGATAGGTAGATGCCAAAACCTGATTGGGTGACAGGCTCATGTTGAGTTAATCAGATTAAAACAGACCACCAACAAGCCCATAAAAGCCCCTAGACTTAGAAATTCTGGTGGCAACTCTCTTGGTTCCCTCCCTCTTCAGGAGTTTTGTATGATCACTTTACTATTGCTCAATGAACTTTGATTTGCTGCCCACCACTCTTCATCTGGTCTACCTCTTAATTCTTCGAAGCTGAGTGACCAAGAACCGTGGGCACCGAAGGGTGGGGCGGGAATTCTGTAACACCTTTAGCTCAAAATAATCTACATGCCAAGGTGGCATATTTTGGGGCCATGTTTTCTGCTCCTCTTCACTGTGAGCAGCCTTTGGAAGTATGAACCTGAACTGGGTGCTGGTGGATTCAGTCTTAAATCTTAAGTCAGTCACTCTCCCAGCCGGTAGGTGGCTCATTTCCATGCCCACTCTGTATCTCTAAGATTACAGCATATCATCTGTATTTTATGCAAAAATCCAAAATTAAATACAAAACATACCTACTTAAAGATGTTTATACCTACAGCAAGAATAAGAGCCATTCCATTCTCCCGCACATTAAATTTGTGCCTGTGGTCTAAAAAGTTAAAAGTACTTAACTCTTGGGGAGCCTGGGTAGCTTGGTTGTTTGGGCATCCGACCCTTGATTGCAGCTCAGGTTGTGATCTCAGGATTGTGGGATCAAGCCCTGAGTTGGGCTCCATGCTCAGGAGGGAGTCTGCTTCTCTCTCCTTCTGGCTCCCTCTGCCCCACCCCCACTCACGTGCACACTCTCTCTAAAACAAGTAAATAATCTTTTAAAAAAAAGGTATTGAACTCTTCTAGGGAATCAAGTTGGCCATGAAGATCACTAACTTTATGAATGGGAAAAGAATATGGATACCTCTGATTATAGAAATATTGGTTTTAAAAAATGTGATATAATTACTGCCTTGACAAAATGAGAGTTTTGAAGGATTACAGAGTACATGATTCATGGAATTCTTTCTCAATTCTTTCTCAATTCTGATCCCATTGTCTTGTGCTTTTAGAAAATTCATTAACCAATGATTAATTGATAAAGTAACACTATGTGACAACCACAGGGCAAAGGGCCTGAGTGTCAAAGTTTCAGGTCAGGGAGCCTATCATGTTTCACTATATTCCAGCGTAGGTGAGTTTGTTCCTCCAGTGGCCTCTTCCACCACCTTGGTGTTTCTGTCACTCCTAAACTCCAAATATACCTCAACAATCAAGCCTCTGATGATTCACCTTTCTGCTGTTTCTATGACTGCATCCGACCTTAGCCCTGGTCTCACGACAATTTTGTTGGGACTATTTAACAGTTTCTGAGGAATCCACAGGACCAGCCATGTTATTCCCCACTGACATTCCCCAGAACTTATTGCTGTCTGTGTATGTGTAGATGCTGTCTCTTAGACTGGCATTCATCTATTTATAACAGCTCATGTGGTGCCTATTTGAAATTTTATTGATTTTGAGCCTAATCATCATGCGATGATTCTGGGTTCTCTTCAATTAAGATAAAGGAAACATGATGCCAGATGGAGAAGGGTGATTCATCATCTCTTCCTCTTTTTCCAATGCTGAAAGAGCAAGCATAAGATGGAAATTTTGGTTTTTTAAAGATTTGATAGAATTCATCTTTAAAATTGTCACTGAAAAAAAGTGTCATAGCTTATTCTGCAATCCAATAGAAGAAAATGAAGGAAAAACATAAACAAAAGGTAAGAAGTGGTAGAAAGAAAAAATAACAAAAAGAATCAGAGAAAATAAGATAGGATTAATTAATCAGTCCATCAATCAATTAATCAGATGATCATTTATTGAGTAGTTACTCTCAGGTCCAACATTACACAGCAACATAACAAATTCCCAAGCACTGATAAGAGCCATGAGAAAAATAAGTGGGCTAAAGATATAAGACTAGGAAACTGATTTCATTAGGATGGTCAGAAAGTCTCAAAAAACCTGATATTTGAGTTGAAATCTGAATGACTGGAGGGACAAGCATTCCAGGCTGGTGGATCTTCATAGAGCATGTCAATGTCTGATTCCACCTTCATTCTACTTCTCTGCTTTTAGAGCCACTTTTCTTACATATATCCCCCCCCCCAAAATTAGGTTAAATTGTCCATAGTATTTTCTCACAATTATTTTAATCATCTTGGTATCTGTATTTATTTCATACCTTAGTTCTAAAATTACTAGCTTTTTATCTCTTTTTTCTTGGTCATACTTCAAAAAGTTTGTGTATGTTATTATATTATTTTAAAATCTTTTTCTATTAACTCTATTCTTTTATGTCTATTACATTAACTTCTACTTTCCCTCTATTAATCCTGTCTTATGCTTTGATAGGTTAATTTTGTTTGTTTCCTAATATGAAAGCATGGTTCACTGATATGTAATCTTTTTATTATTAATACATTAATATAAGGGTGTAAATTTGTTCCCTTCCCGTGTCAGGGCCTTTGCACTCTTTCTGCCCGAAGATGTTGTTCTATTGCTATCTTGCCTTCAGTAGCCCTATCTTCATATTTTCCTAGAAGCTTTTAAGATTTCATTTTTACTCTTTGTCACCATGTCTAAATTTGCTTTTTTTTTTTTAATTCATCCTCTTCAAGACTGAAGTGGGTTCTTTTCATCAACTCTTTAGTCTACAGATCGTCTATGGTCTTGTCCATACATATATCCCATGTACTTCTGGGTTTCCAGTTAGATGTCAAAACTACTGGAAGCATCCTCCATGTTTTGCAGGTTTTCTTTCACACTTCTTGTCTCTCTCCAACTGTTGTGCCTTCTGGCTTAACTCTTTAACAAGATCTTCCAGAACCTAATTTATGCTTCTTCTCAGTACATTCTGGACTTCTGTTTTTAATTTCAACAACAATTTTCATTTTTGAGGTTTATCACTTTTATTCCTTTATTGGTAATCATTCTTATTCTTTGATTATGATTTATTCCTTTATTCCTTTATCCATTTAATGGTAGAACGCACAAAGACATAAAAAGGTGTTAGCCATCTAGTAAATAATGTTAGCTATTATGATTAATGTTTTCATGTTTATTTGAAAGTCCAGTTCTACCTCTATTAACATTTTCCTGATGTTTAAATTCTTCCCTATGTTGAGTTTTGTATTTGTCTTGGATTTCTTTGATCTGTTAGACATCTTGACTGTATGACTGTGTATCTTTGGGAATAAGTTTCCATTTCAACTATCTTTTGTATCTGTTTGTGCAGACTGCTTAGAGAGTAAAATGTGTCTTGAATCTTAGCACAGTTTCAGAAAAAGTAAGAAGGAAGTATCTTAATGGTATTTTCACTGCTAGCCTTCTACATATGGGTCCTCCCTATTCTTCCCATCCTCTACCATCCACAACACCCTGCTTCTCCTGCCTGATAGCACTCACTCATTGCTCCAGTTTGGAAACATAAACTAGGAGTTCACTTGCTTGGCTAATACTGTTTTGGTCTCTCCAGCTCCATCCAGCTTTTAGTATCCACCACCTCCATGTATACAACAGTCTTGGAGCTGCTTTTGCCTTCTGTGTTGGTCCTATTTTTTGTGACTTTCCTGTATCATCCTATATAGTGCCCATCTCTGAGAGATGTTGCTCTCTTTTATGGGCAGTGAAGTGGGGGTGAAATGTTCCCTTTTTATATCTTAAGTGCTTCTCTGTTGGCTTTCCTTGTTTTTTTATAATTTTTATGAATTTGGAGGGTACAGAAGATTGTAGCCTGTGCTCAGACTGCCATCTTCAATGAGAATTTAGTACAGAAAATTTTAGAGTAAAGTTCTTAGGAACCTTTGCAAAACTAATACCTGTGGAATTAAAATTATTCAGGTCATACAATACTAAAAAGTATTTCTTGATAAATATTATGGCACAGACCTAATTTAACTTATTACTACATACGGTAGTCCCTGCTGGTCCATGGGGGGGATGTTCCAAGACCTCCAGTGGATGCCTGAAACTGCAGATTGTAGTGAACCCTACATATACTACATATACACTCTGTGTTTTTTTCCTATACATATATACCTATGATAAAGTTTAATTTATAAATTAGGCACAGCAAGAGATTAACAATAACTAATAAAAAAATAGAACAATTATGACATATATTGTATAATAAATTATGTGAATGAGGCCTGTCTCAAAATATCTTTTTGTACTGTACTCACCCTTTGTCTTCTCATGATGATGTCAGATGAGAAAGTGTCTACTTCACAAGATGAAGTGAGGTGAGCAATGCAGGCACAGTGATGCAGTGTCAGAGTGCTACTGACTTGGTGATAGGTCAGAAGGAGGACCATCTGCTTCCAGACCTTGGTTGACCACAGGTAACTGAAACCACAGAAAGGGAAAAGTGCAGATAAAGAGGACTGCTGTACACAAAATCTAGTATTATATTTTAAAAAACTAATATGCTATAATCAGGTAGTGTTTATTCCAGGAATACTATCATAATTCAGGAACTATATCAACATAACCCATTCAATTAATACATTAAAAGAAAAAAATCATACAACTATAGAAACAGATGACAAAAGGACATTAGATAAAACTGACCAGGGACTCTAATGAAAATTTAAATAAAATAGGAATGTCTGGAAGCAAATGATTTAGTAACCATCATACAGCAAGAAATAATTACTTCTTTCCAGTTAAATGTATTCAGGGCATAACTTTGGCTCTGCTTGTTTTTATTCAATTTTGTTCCATATAGCCTCTTCATTCTTGGATCCTGGCTAATGTAGTAATCTTTATCTGCAATGTGCTGTTCTCATAGCAGTAGAACTGGCAAAGCCATGAGATGGTTCTTAAAGCTTCTGTTGAACAGGACATTCAGTGACTCCTTTAACCAAAACAACTCCTGTGTCAAGTCTGATATGAAAGAAAGAGAGAAGTATACCCCTTCAACTGGGAGGTACTGGAAAGCAAATGGTCGTAGAGGAGGCCATGCATACTATTTGCAGGAAGGACAGTCAGAAAATGGGAACGAGATGCCATCCCAATATGAAAAATACTCTTATGCCAAAACTAACAGCAAAATGACCTTATGTCTATGAAAATCAGTAATAAAACAGGGATGCCTGCAATATATCAATAGAAGATCTAGCTAACACATTAAGAAAACAAATTGATCAGCCTGAATATTTAAAAAGATACATAGTATTATCATCCTTTGGTAAAGATATTGTGTCTATAAAATCAAAGATACTTTGTCAAACAAAAAGTGGTAATTATTAATGTGCCTGGCAACAAGATGAATTAAGGGAAAAAATATAATAGTGGAGGAAAACTGTATTTTATTAAGAATAAAATAAAGATGCAGAGACATTAGGAACAAAAACATAAAACTGTATTAAATTACTTAAAGTAAGACTGGAAATTGGATTAATGTGCAATGTTCTTGAACAAGATTGATCATCACAAATATCAAGAGTTAGAAATTAATATATAAATGAACAGGAAAACACATATTACTTATTTTGTATATTGCAGGTAACTTAACTTATATATATTTGCATGTTTACTTGTGTTTCTCTGTCTTTCCAACTTGACTGCAAGTTCCATGAGCCAGTCCTGATCACCATTTTAGCCACAGAATCTTACATGATACTCATAGGAGCATAATAAATATTTATTGATTGGCTGAACCACAACATTATCAACATAACAGCTTGTTTTACTACTTTAGAATAAGCACTTCATGTTGCTCTGGTGATGTTATTTGGCCTATTAGTAGGTTCCCTGCATAGTACTAGATGTTGTAGAGAATAAAGTGATGGATATTCTTTGTCTGAACCCCTCTCTCACTATAGTTTCATATATAATGAGAGGAAGGAAGAAAGGAACACTTGCCTTGAAGAAACATCCTTCCTAATGGGAGTAACAGCCATATATACAGTTGACTCTTGAACAACATGGGAATTAGGGGCACCAAACCTGTGCACAGTCAAAACACTGAAAATAAATTCTGACTCCTCAAAAACCTAACTACTAATAGCCTATTGTTGGCTGGAGGCCTTACCAATTAAAAAAAGCAGTAGATTAACACATATTTTGTATGTTGTATGTATTATATACTGTATTCTTACAATAAAGTAAGCTAGAGGAAAGAAAATGTTTTTAAGAAAATCATAAGAGAAAATACATTTATACCTCTGTACCATATTGAAAAAAAAAATCCACGTATTAGTGGACCTGCACAGTTCAAACCCATGTTGTTCAGGGGTCAATTGTTTAACTAAATGTTGTGCAAGACAGAATGATAGGGGATGAAAATAAAACAGTCCCAGTGTGGTAAGAGTAAAGTAAGAATAATAACTGATTTTGACTTCAGGGAGAAGGGTCAGAAATTTTTATGTATTAATCAAATCTGTAGAATGAGTAGAAATTCAGTAGTTAGGAATGTTTTGAAAAGCCTAGATTAAGAGAATTAACTTTACTATCAATTTATTTTTTATTTTTTTAAGATTTATTTATTTATTTTTGGGGAGAGAGAGAGAGACAGCGCTCACAGTGGGGAGAGGCAGGGGGAAGGGAGAAAGAGAATCTCAAGCAGACTCCCTGCTGAGCGCAAGGACCCTACCTGTGGTTCCATCTCACGACCCTGTGATCATGACTGAGCCGAAATAAAGAGTCAGATGCTTGGGGTGCCTGGGTGGCTCAGTCGTTAAGCATCTGCCTTCGGCTCGGGTCATAATCCCGGGCTCCTGGGATCGAGCCCCGCATTGGGCTCCCCGCTCTGTGGGAAGCCTGCTTCTCCCTCTCCCCTCCCCCTGCTTGTGTTCCCTCTCTTGCTGTCTCTCTTTGTCAAATTAATAAATAAAATCTTTAAAAAAAAAAAGAGAGACGCTTAACTAACTGAGCCACCCAGGTGCCTCTATTATTAACTTAAAGCAAACTATAGAATTAGAAAAATAAATGTAATGAGAAAATGTATTATCTAACTCTGAAGTCAAGCATGATTTACAAGTGAAATATTTTAGCTTCAACTTTATAACTGGTTATACCTTTCATGACTGCCTTTAACATCAATAAACTAAGATGAGAGAAAATTCTAGGTGCATTATTTCTCTTTGATCTTTTGCATTGCCTCCACTTTGATTCTCCTTTCTGTCTCTCTCTCGTTATATCTGTTTCTCCTCTCCCCAACTTCTTTTCATTTTTAAAATACTCTCAGTTGGTAATAAATTATTCAGTATCTCCTTTTTTCTGATAGTCCAAGAGGAACTGCATATAAAGGTAGTAAAAATATTATTATTGAACTCCTCTTAATTGCAGTATAGATGGGAGATTTCTTGGTATGCGTATGATGGAACTATCATACCCATTTACTACTGTTCAGGGAAGTAAGGCCCATTTTGTCAAAAAAAATAAATTTAAGGAACTATAAATCATATTGCTACTCATTTCCTAAATATCCTAGGCACTCTATAAATTAAGTCTGGGTGTATTTAAAAGGACAACTTTAGAAAAGTAGATTTAATAATTATATTCAATATGTGGCATCTTTGAGTCAAAACATAAATATGGCTCTTAATATTTTGCAGTTGGATCTACATACAATGTATTTGGAAGTGCAGATAACTGCAGAATGGTTGTCATTTTGAAAAGATTACTTAAATACCTTTAAACAGGTTACATAATTCAAATAAAGAATCAGTTGATGACCATATTCTCATTCCTTGGCCACATTGTGATATTCTTGCAAATTAAAAGAGAACATAGCTTTCAGTGAATGAACTAAGAGACATTAGATCTAAGTTTGAGTTTTAATCTCCCACATTTTTAATTAGTACAAATACAATTTAAATTATTGCCTGCTTAAGCAAATGACAAAAGATAAATTTTCTAAAACATTTAAAGGAATGCTCTTCAGTATAAAATTTTCTGTGATCCATAAAGATGGTTTCTGTACACTGTTACATTGCCATATATGATTGTGGTTTTTAAGCAATTTATTTTCCTTTTTTTTTTTTCATAAAATGCAGCATTATAATTATCTTCTGGGCTTTACTCTCTTTGTATGTTACCTTTTTTTCTTTTCCTTATCTGAATTGTATACTACCCCTATATCAACAGCACCATGGACAAGTAGAGCTCAGCTATTGCCCAAGAATTTCAAATTAAAATATTTATGAGATCATTGTGCTTTATAAGATAATAAATGCAATAGCAGACCATTTATTGGCTGACTGTCCATCTGTTCCAACAATAATTCAAATCTGGAAGGGAATATAATCCTGAGCTGGAAGAGAAAACTGCTGTCAGGTGCCAAACCCATATTTTTCCTTTTGTGCGTTAATCTGGTCAGTAATAGCACTTTTACCCAGGGGACATACTTACTGAGGGAAAAACAAATCAAAATATTGAAAATGTTTTGTTGTAAGAATGACCAAAGTCAGAATAGAATTCTTCAGATCTTATTCATTTTTCAAAACAAAATGAAAAGACCAATAATGAGAACAAAAATGAAGTCTAAAAGTTAAGTAGCATTTAAAGACTAAACTAAGTTTCAAAATTAGAAACAATTTTAAAATAGCAGAATTGATCATTCATAGAATATTACAAAAATGACTTACCCTGAATTCTTAAAATTACTGAGAAAAGACTTATGGTTTTTTAATGAAATGAAGTAATTCGCTTCTATCAATTCAAGTTAAAAAATGTATTTTCTACAGCTGTGCAAATGTCATATTTGGTTGAATAATGACAAAACCCACAGTATTTTGCTGTCTTGGAAACTGATAAAATACAGTGGGTGGGAAATAACTACATAGTGTGTTAGGATAATAAATTGTTACACACGTATAGCTATTTAACTTCAGTTTGCCATGATTGCAAAAAATATAATATGCTAAAAATAAGAAAGTACTCTCCTATTGACTCTAAAATTTCTAACTAATTTTATCACTCAGAGTTCAATCACAGAAGCAGAACTACTGGAATACACACAACTGATAATTAGGATTAGATCTCACACAATTTAGGAAGCTGGTTGAATAGATCTGGGATGTTGTTTATACCGTCTGGTGCTGAAGCCTAAAGTTGGCCGGGCAGGCGGTAAGGAAAGGAAGATGGACACCCAGTGGGGACAGCAAAGACTAAAGGAAAATTTTGAGGTAAGTGAAATCCATGTGCACAGACTGGAACTTGCATGGATCCCTGCCTCTAAGCCTCCAAATATGATGATGAGCCTGTTGTGCAGATGAAGTTGGTGTCCTTAGCTCTGAGGAGAACATGCACCTGGTTCATGAGTCAGAAAGTTAAAAGGGGAGATGCAGCCGGAGCTTAAGGTCTTTAAGTTAAAATGAAGTTTTTAGGATGGGCTTTAG